GAAACCAGATCTGGTTCTTGGAACATTTTTTCCAGCTCCTCATTCTTTCTTATCCTCCAGTTGCCATTCTTGCAGACCGGTCCTTATATTCTTCTGAGTACTTTCCTTTCCCAAACTTTTAACATTCTTTCACTTTCTTTGGAAAGTGCTAAGTCTCACAGCCATTGGATACAACTGGCCTAATATAATATGACCTGTTTTATATAATATGACTGTTTTATATAATATGACCTTAGCTTTGTTAGTCAGGCCTCTGAATTTTAATGTTTTTTGAAGAGCATAATAGCATCTGTTTCCAGTAGCTACTCTTGCCTTAATTTCTTCTTGGTGTTCATTCTTTGATGTGACAGGAGCGCCCAAATACTTAAACTGGTTTGCTATTCTGAAGGTGTGGCTTCCAAATTTAATCAGTTCTTCCATTCTTTCTGGTGGGTTTCTTGTTGACTTCATATTTTTTTTTTTTTTTAATGAAATTTACAACTGTATTACATCAAAAATACAACAAGTAAATGTGACATTGGTAACATGACATGTACAACATGAAGAGAAACTACCCATTGGTAGAACTCAAATTAAAGTTCTATATTAGAAGGTCCCAAGGCCATCTTCTTTTCAAAGGGTTATCAGGGATCGAGGAGGAAGCAAAGGTTTGAAAAGTGAGGGTTCGGATAGTTCTGCACTTTGTTATGGAAGGATAGGTATCTGTATTGGACGAAATCAGAAACATATGGAACATTAAGGTCTTTATGGATGATTTTATTTGTGACAAAGTAAGGAGCCTTGAGGATTTTACGAAGGATTTTGTATTGTAAGGATTGGATACGAGAGGAATTCGATGGTTTAGTGAAGCTCCAAAGCTCAATTCTGTAAGTCCAAATAGGTCTTATTATTGTCATATATATGAGTCGCTTGTATTTGAATGAAAGCTTAAATCGTTTGTATAGTAAGTGCTGCAGTAGTCGAAAACGTCGGGTGGTTTCTAGTCGTTTCAGTCTGGTATGGGGGTTCCAAGTGAGTCATTTGTCCAGATGGAGTCCTAGGTATCGGATTTGTTCGACAGGGATAAGAGGGCTATTGTTGAAGGATACTGTAGGACAGGAAGTCATAGGTTTATGACGAAGAGTGACTGTAATTTGATGGGATTTATTGGATATATTTTAATCCTCCAATTGACACCATTTTTCAAGACTTGTGATGTGTGAGTGAAGAGTTTGGGATGCAATAGATGTATCATTATTAACTGATAGGATACACGTGTCATCGGCATATGTGATGATGACAATGTTGGATTGGGTTGAGATGTCAGCTGTATAAACTGTGTAAATGATAGGACCTAGGATACTACCTTGAGGAACACCAGCAAACTGAGTAAAAAGAGATGAATAAGCATTGTTATGATTGATTTTGAAGTATCTGTCAGTAAGGTCGGAACGGATAATGAGGAAGTATGTAGGTGGTAGGAATTTAAGGAGTTTATACATTAGTCCCAGATGCCAGACTATCAAACGCCTGTTCAACATCGAGAAAGACTCCCGTGCAGTACATTCCACGCTCCAATGCAGAGGAGACTACATCTACCAAACGATGGCATTGCTGAATAGTGGAGTGCGATGTGTGGAATCCAAATTGATGATCTGGGATAATGTGTTTAGAGTCTAGGATGGGATACAGGCGTTTTAGGATGAGTTTTTCCAGGATTTTGCCCATAATGGGTAAAAGAGAGATATTACGGTAAGAGGATGGGTGTTCTGGCAGCTTTATGGGTTTAGGTATCATTTTGACAATGGATAGTTTCCAAGAGTCAGGAAAATATGTGGTTCGAAATACAGCATTATATATATAACTTAGGAACAGTATGGCTTTTTTAGGAATCAATTTTAGGATCTGGGATGTGATTAGGTCATGGCCAAGAGCTTTGCGGGAAGGTAATCTATGAATGATATTGGATAATTCTGAAGGATGAAATGCTTTAGGCGGAGGTGTCAATTGGAGTGGGATATCCAATTCTGCTTCAATAAACTCAATGTGGGTTGGATTAAGGATATCTGAGTGTGGATTAAATATTTTTGAGAGGTGCTGAGCAAATATTTGAGATTTTTCATCGACAGATCTGGACCAGGTTTGGGTTTCAGTAATAAGTGGGTGGTTAAAATCTTTGAATTTAAGGAGCTTTTTAGTGATCAACCATAGTGATTTGTCAGAAGTAGTAAGTTTTTCTGTCATGTTAAGTAAATTTTGAACTTTGTATTTTCTATTTTCAGCTTTTAGTTGGTTAGTTAATTTTTTGTAATATGTCTTATCTGATGGGTATCTAGTCCTGTGCCACTTCGATCTTGCTCTGCATTTTTCCCTTAATGAGATACGAATATGCTGCGGCAAATTCGTTGGGAGTTGTCAGTTTTATTGGTAGATGTATTATCGTTTATTTTGTCACTTATAGATGTAGTAAATACTTCTATGGCTGTGTCAATGTCACGTTTTGTCTTAAGTGTAATATTTAGGTCCAATTTATCTTCCAGGTCTTTACTAAGTTTGTCCCAGTTTACTTGTCCTGTAATCAGTGTAGGAGAGGACGAGGGTTTAGCGAAGGTTGTGTGTATTGAAAGCAGAACTGGAGAATGATCTGAGGAGAGGTCATCCAGAGATTTGATTGTGGCATGGAAGAGGAAATTTGGGAGATGACAAATATGTCCAGGATATGAGGGCGACTTCATATATACTGTCTTTTCATCATTACATGGAGGACTAACTTTTTTGCAGCATTTTTGAACTCCTCAAATGCTCCCAATAATGATGCTCTTGATTTAGCCGATTTTACCACGTCATATGCATAGGCTGTTGCAATCTATTATATATCGTGCCATGAGGGCTTGTCCGAATAGCACGTACTGCATATTCTAAGGCTAGGTTGAAAAGAATTGGGGACAAGGGGTCTCCCTGCCTTAGGCCATCCTCAATTGCAAACTTTTCTGATAGTGCTCCTTGTATCTTGACTTTACAGCAACTATCAGTCAATGTCATCCTTGTTAGTCTAACTAACTTTTTCGGTACACCTAAAGTGACCATTTCTTTCAATAATTCGCTTCTATTGACACTATCGTAAGCCTGTTTAAAATCGATGAAAAGATGATAAAGATCTACATTATATTTATTGCATTTTTCCAACATCTGTTTGACGGAAAATATTAGGTCGATTGAAGACCTATTTGGCCTGAAACTGCATTGATACTCGCCAAAAATATGTTCGGACTATACTTGTAACTTTTTATTTAGGAGCGAGGAAAATGCCTTACATACTACCCCCAGGAGAGATATACCTCTATAATTTTCGGATTTAGTTCTATCTCCTTTTTTGAAAACTGGGCAGATAATAACTACCGTCCACTCTTTCGGCAATTTTTCCTTGACCCATACCTCCAACAACAAGTCGTATACTATCTTTAGTAGGTCCTCTCCACCATATTTCAACATTTCCACGTCAATGCTATCATTTCCCGGCCTTTTATTGTTTTTAAGTGTTTCGACCACTTCAACGAAATCCTCATAATCAGGGGGCTCCACATCATCATCGCCACTCAGCAATTCCTCTTGTGTATGTTCATACAGCATATTCCTCACTGTGTTTTCATCTCCATTCAGAAGTTCTTGGAAATATTGTCGCCAAGTATCCAATACCTCTGCAGTTCCTTTCACCATGTTACCTTTGCAAACAGCTGTTCTCGGTTGAAAACCATGTTTAAATTCTCTGATCCCTTTGTGAAAATTTCTGGATTGTTTTGTTTCCCATTCATTGTAGCATTTCCACTTTGCTTCTTTCCATAATTCTTTTCTTCTTCCTACAAATAGTCTTGGCAGCCCTTCTTTTTGTGTTATACACTTCCTTGTTTTGCCTTGTATTTCTCTGCAACATCTTCATTCTTGCTTCATTCCTCTCCCTCAATGCTATCTGACACTCCTTTCCACAATCTATCTCATTCCCAGTACCTCTTCCGCCGTCTTCCTTAATGGGCTTTCAATCCTCCTCTAATTATCGTCCATTCCCCTACTTTTGCTTCCTTGTATGCCCATCAAGGCTCCATTCAAAGTTTCCCTAAATGGATCTGAATAGTTTTTCAATTTGTCCTGCTTTGGCGGATATTAGGAATACAACATATGTAAATGATTATATAAAAAAATCAAACTTATACTGGGCAGCAAGATGTCGGATGGTCGAATGACCAATGACTGTGGCATAGGAAAAAAAAAGAAAAAAAGTTTTTCAATTTGAGGAGATCACTGTTATATCTTGTGGACTTCTCTCCATGTCCTCGAGCCCTTCTAGCAAGCTTCTGTCCATAATGTACCTTAACCAAAAAGTGATCAGAGTCGACATCTGCGCCTCGATAACTTCTCTCGTCCGAGATGTCTGAGTTATGTCTACCATCTATGAGAACGTGGTCAATTTGATTTCTTATCTTCCCATCTGGGGATATCCAAGTTTCTTTACGAATATCTTTGTGTGGAAAATGTGTGATTCTAATTGTCATATCCTTTTCCGTGGCAAAATCGATAATTCTTGGTTCATTGTCGTTTTTTCAAATTTGTATATATAAGGAAAATTAAACAAATACAAATACCCACAATGAAATGTAAATAAATAAGACGTCAATAATTTTTACTTTCACTTCCCCTTTGTCTGAAAACTCTTATTTCTGCTAAGAAGAGGGTGGTAAGTGAAAGTCATGTGATGTGCGCACCACACCAGATTTTATCCATGAAGGAACACGTTTTCGACAAAAAAACTCTAATAAATAAATAAAAATTCTATATATTTTTAAAAAAGATTAGATATCCTACAATTTAACTCCAGAAGAGGCCTTGTGAATCTAATAGTTTACAAGATACAGATTTTCAGATTTTTTATTTGTTATTAATTATGGATTTTGTACCATTATTATACTTATATATTTATTCATTGTTGTTATTATTACTTTAATTGTATTTATGGACGATAATGTTTTATGCCCAGGTTGCACGAAGAAATCAATGATTTTTACGAATACATGTCCCCAACCCCAGAAGAACATGCTATGCGTAAGGCAGTTGTCAAGAACATCGAAGCAGTCATTCTTGAAATGTGGCCATCAGCAAGGGTTGATGTATTTGGTTCATTCAGGACAGGGCTCTACCTCCCAACAAGGTATCTATAATTCTTGGGATTTTCAAAGAGATTATTGAATAGTGTTAAGTGAAAAATATTGATTCATTTGCTTTTGTATATCAAATTGTAATCATGTATCAAGACATATTTATTTTATAGTATTCAATATTTAATGAACATTAGTTTTTGGTTGTTTAAATAAATTTACTATTGCTCTTATTATATGTATGTATATATATATATATATATATATATATATATATATATATATATATTTTTTTTTTTTTTTTACAGTGATATAGACTTGGTAGTTATAGGTGATTGGACAGAAACTCCTTTGAGGACTCTAGAAGATGGTCTTCTGCAACGAGGAGTCTGTGATAAAGATAACATAAAAGTTCTTGATCGAGCTACTGTACGTTTTCTATCTGAGCTTATTTAATAATTATATATTTTACTGACTAAGCAATTGGGACGTGATAAAATTAATTATCTTTTTTTTTATTCTATGATGCTTTTCCTTTATTTTATATATTTTCTTCTCATAGTATTGAATCACTTACTCATTATAAAGGGTACTTCCAATCAGTCAGTTCAGAGGCAAACTACCCACTATTATAAACCTATAAAACAATTCAATAGTCTCTATAAAAAATAAGAGAGGACACTTAGAGCTAATGTCTCTTGGGTAGAGGCATAGAATCAGGCATTCTTAGAAACTTTTACTAGGTTAGAAGGATAACAATGGATTTTCGGGTAGGTTGGAAAATATGGTTATACCAAGATAGGCGTTGTTCACAAATGATTGGAGTTTTTACCAAAAGTTCTATTCAAAATAAATAGGTGGAGTATTAAGTTAAAGAAGGGGAAAGAAATTTATATAATAAGGTACTTGGAACTGGGGACAAAGTTGACTAGTTTTTCTCTACATATAACCGCAATTTATTGGCCATTGTCTTTTATGCTTTGATGCTATTAATGTCATCCTGCATATAGCATATTTGAGGTTTTCGTCAAAATCGGCTAACCGGAAGTGGCACTTTATATCATGGACTAAACACATTTTTATGATTTTCTCGAAAACGGCTCTAACAATTTGAATTAAATTCATTATATCAGTGTAAAATTAAGTAGTTTTAAATAAAATGTAGGTTTTATTCTGATTGATGTTCTCTAACAAGGCTTAAATGGCTAATTTTCAATATTAGCTTCCCTAAAGTACCTTTAATTTTTTTTATTTGAAACAATTGACCATTTCACATTAATCTCTAATATAAAAGATAGTTAAATATAAAATATGAAAGAATTTGATAATTAACTAAAGGAGAAATAAGAGATTGTAACGGAGAATAGTTGTAATTGAGGAACCAAAGGAATACGAGCGCCTGAGCTCATCCGAAAGATTAGAACAGGCTTCCATACGTAACATGAGCTTAATGTAATAAGGACTCCGACAATATTATGTAAATATACATATGCGGTTTTCATAAATGCTATTGTTGGTATTATTTAATATTTAATTGTATAGATTACAGCGATATAAATATTAAAATTTGTATATATAAGGGTACTTATACAAATAAAATATCCGCAATGAATTATAAATCAATATAGCGTTTATCATTTTTACTTTTAACTTCTCCTTTTCTCTGAATATATTTATTTCTGCTAAGAAGAGGGTGGTAAGTGAAAGTTGTGTGATGCGTGCACTGCATCAGATTTTACTCATTTTATCCATGAAGGAGCACGTTTTCGACAAAAAACAGTATATGCATTTTTAAAAAAGATTAAATATGCTACAATTTAACACCAGAATAGGCTCAGTAGAATCAAATAGTTTACGAGATACAGATTTTCAAATTTTAGAAAATGTTATTTTTCATTTAAATTATTTTTCATGTTTCATCATATGCAATTGTCTTTTATCTTCAATAACCTGTCTGATATGAGTCAGCGAAGTAAATATTTATTCATTTTGATATTGAAGGTGAGGTGAGTAGCGGAAGAGGGGAGAGAGATTTGGTGGAAGGCTGTAGTCTGTGGACCAGACCCCCCTTACGTACACCCTCCCTCCACATAACTATAAATTGTATATTGTTGTGTTCCTTGTAACTATATTTAAAAAAAAAGGTGATGTTCCCACAAAAAAGTTGCCTCACTGTCCCAAAATGTCATCCGAATATGGCTGATTGACGACTTTGACTTGAGTTAGTTTTTCGGTCACTGAGATTCAGCAGTTGGCTTAATTTCGTCATAATTGGTCTTTTATTAAATCTGGATAGTCAGAATATAATAAAGCATAAAAAAAAAATAATTGGCCTTGGCAATAAAAAATACCAGTAAAGTCAATTTTTTCAAGTCGTTCAAACTAAATTTGAAAATCAAGCATCATTTGTAATACGGCCAACAATAACGAAAAATGCCTGAAATAAAACATCTAGAGAATACATTTATCTTTCTAAATCACTGATTAATTTTTAATATATTTGAAACAGTTCTTTAGAAAATGTACTTAATCGGTGGAAAAGCGGCACTGGTGTAGGCGCCTACAAAAAAGATCGAACCCAATGATTATAGCTCTTATTATTTATAGCCATTCCTATTTCCATATATCCTACTCCTTCAAAATTATAACTTAAATAAATGTTTACTTCACTAACTCTTATAAGGCAGGTTATTGAAGACATCAACATAAAATTAGCTTAACATTTTCAAGTTTTCGAAAATTTCATTCCTTTTATTTATTATTATGGTATGCATTTGATGTAAATGTTGGTTAAACAATTTTTTTTATTCCAATTTAAGTCTTGTTGTGAAAAGAGAAAAATGATCTGCTCTGGTGTTAAATTGTTGAATATTTAATCAAGTTTAAAATTGTGTACAATGTTTTTTGTCGAAAACCTGTTCCTTCATGGTCAAAATAGGGAAAAAAATGCGAAAATATAGCAGTTTTGAGGATTTTAAAAAGTGATCCGGGGGAGGGGAGGAGGAAGGAAGGTCAAAAACTTGAATTTTGCATCTCAGTCACATCCCATACAAGAAAAAAAAAAAAGCCTTTACCCCCATTCAATGTAGCTTAGACCCTCCTTTTCATGACAAGATTATTGGGCTATATAGAGGAAGCAGTTTCTTTATTCAACAAACAAACCATGGCTTTTTCTAAGCCGTAGTAAAGATGGAATTTTGAATTTTAGTTTTTCTATTGATTTGCTGTGTCTCCCAACTCTCACCTATATTGATTTTATCCTCTTAGATAGTTCATATAAAATATATGCCTATCTTTCCATTGCGCTTTGTATATACTTGTTATTTTTGATACTTCTTTAATTTAATCCAATAAAGAGGCAACATTTTCTTCCATACTTTAGTTTGGTAAAACACTGTACTGCCTAATCACTGACTTTTTTTAGCTCTTTCATAAATTATAGGTCTATTCTTTTTTTTTTCCATCAGCTAACTTTTTTTTTTACTAATCACTTAATATAATGGGAGAAGAGATATTGTGAAATATGTTTATTGTTGATAAACTTAGTGAGCTTGATAATAACTTAAATTAGGGAAATAATTCAAATACCTCTCTATATGCAAATACCATTCTCAGTTTAAATTGAATTGGATTTAAATTGAAATCCTAAGATTTCTACGAGATCGGCAACAGAATTTACAAACCCTAGATGACTACACTGCGATAAAATTATTTTTATAAAATATAACACTCAGTTGCCCACATATCGCGGTGAGCGACTATTTTGGTTTTTTAATTTAATGTGCACCCTGAATGAAAGTTTTGAATGATCAATTGTTTGAGAAATTGATGTTATTAAAAGCTTATTGCAAAAAAGTTTAATTTGGAATTAATATCTACTTATTATATTTATTTGTTTTTTTATTGGTCAATTATAACTTTTTTAACAAATCGTTCTTTTAAAAAATATTGAATAAATAAAATATTTTTTCTCTATTAATTGTTTTAAAACTATATCTACTGTTCGCTCTTTTCCTGACTGCTTTTCTTAAAAATAATAATAATAATAATAAAATAAAAAATTTTAATTTATAAAAAGAAATTATAATTTTTTTTAATAGAAAGCAGTTGTAAAGTGCAAACCTAGGTACTTTAGATTTTGGTATTTTGTATTTTTATTTTAACTTCAAATTATGAAATGTATTTTTTATTTAAAATACTTTTTCTTTAAGTATTTTAAATGCATTTTAATTAAATACGTGATATTTTAAAAAAAACAAAATACATGGTATTTTAAAAACACAAAGCACATGGTATTTAAAATACACATGGTATTTTAAATACTTTATTTTAAAATAATAATTAAAATACTTTTTCCAAGTTCTGATGTAAAATTACCTTTTATTTTATATTCATCTATCATAATTTTTTTTTTACTCACTTTATTCTGTGGATCAGGTTCCAATAGTCAAACTTACTGAAAAATCATCTGGTGTAAAGATTGACATATCATTTAATATGAACAATGGATTACGCTCTGCAGAGCTCATCAAAGAATTTAAGGCTAAGTTCCCAGCACTAGGCAAGTTAGTACTTGTTTTGAAGCAGTTCCTTCTCCAAAGAGACCTTAATGAAGTCTTTCATGGTGGCATATCATCATACAGCCTTATTTTGATGACTGTTTCTTTTCTACAGGTGAGTTAGCGAGTTTAGATAAGTATCTCATTTGTAAAAAATATATATATACTAGGGTGGTCTGAAAAGTTTCCGACCTAACAAAAATACAAGTCATTTTTTCTGAATTTTGCTTTTATTTACAAGTGCTGCCATCTTCACGTTGCAGTCGGAAACTTTTCAGACCACCCTCGTATTTATATATATATATATATATATATATATATATATATATATATATATATATATATATATAATATATATATATATATATATATATATATATTCTATTGACATATCTGAATTGTCTTGAATGAGACTATTTTAAGTTTTCCCTCATATGCCCAGTGATCCATTAATCAATTGTGAACTATCAAATAATGTCTAAATTTGTGAACATTTATCCTTTACATCTAGGTTGTATTTAATAAGTTTAAAATACTATGTTTTACTTGAATTTTTAAACTATAAAAGAACAAATTTATTTACCTTATATGATCCATTATTTATTTACTGTTCATCACAAATGTAGTAAAATTAAGAATTTTTTTATTTTAAGCAATGTATTTTTAAACAAAAATACTTAATAATGGAACATTGCAGACAATTTAATTTCTGAATCAGTAAAAAACAGTTTCATTTTATTACAATTCATTATTTTACTATGATACAATTTTATTCAGCATCCATGAAAATTCCAATTATAATTTACCTTACCATTCAAAATTTGCAGCATTAATGGACTTTATATTTCCCAGTAAGTTGGTTAAAATGTTACTCCAATTGACCACATCCTTATTAGTAGCAGGGATGTTACCAGTATTATTAATAGATGAATCTTAAGGGGAGTGAACTGACTCTTATCACTGTTTGAGCATTGCCTGCATTAGGTCCAGAATAAATTATGCAACAATAAAACAAGAAGGCGGAAGTGCTATGTAGTAGAAAGAAGTAAAATAACCTGTACATGCAAAAAACGTATGCTGGTGTCTTTATGCATAGTTTGAGAACTTAATTAGACTCAGATGAACTTATTAATGAGGACCATTCCTCATTATACATCCATACTCAATGTCTCCACAATCACTAGTGCAGTATCTGAAGTCTTTGGGGAGGAAGTGAAGAAATAGTCCAACTATGATGAGGAATGCTCTGGTATCACAGGAAAGATTCTTTATAAAATTTTCAATCCTATCTGCAGCCTTAAGGAAAAGAGATGTTTAAATAATCTGGACTTTTACCGAATGATCTCTACAGTGAGATGGATATTTTTTAAAATATTGTTTTTTTTTTTTTATTCATTCATTCATTCATTTATATACTGTATACAAAAAATACATCCAGTAAATTCACACATGGATATGAAACACATGTTGAAAAACTACCCATTGGTAGCACTCTATTAAAATATTAAAATAAGAAAGCATAGGTGAATATGAGTGTAGACTATTCCTAGGAAAATTCTGACCAAGCACCTTTATGGCTGCAGCAGAGTAGTAAGATCTAGACTATACTGGGCAGACTGTGTTGTGGGTTACACTAGGGAATCAGATTCTGGAAGACAACAGCAATGAACAGAGAATCTTGTCATTTGTTCTTGGAGGCGTCCTGGAACATCATTGACTTGTAGTGCCATTTTTGTAATAATGATTCTGTTGATTTCATCTTCGAGAACTATTTGTTTACTGATATAAATTTTGTATTTTGTAATTTCATTTCATTATAAGACCAATTATAAATTGTTTCTTTTAGATTGAGATATTTCAAAAATTTTTTATACGTGGAACAACAGGCTGTATGTATTTTATATACTTAAAAATATTTCCAACTAATCTGCTTGTTAACTCTGGCCAAAATTAAAAAAAAAAATATATGCCTAGAATTTTTACATTTTTTGTTATAGATCAATAAGAGATATGACCAGACCTAGATCCGTAGAATAGAATAGAAAATAGAACTTTATTCTGGGACTAAGTCCCCTGAGAATAACAAAGATGAATTAATACAAAATAACATACCAATTTGTCCTAAAACTAACTTATAAAAATTCAAACATAATATACATTATTTAAAAAGTAGTATGTAACCACTAAGACAAAAACAAAAAAAATATACATATATATATATATAAATACACGCACATATACACACATAAACACACATACTACACATACACACATATATACATACACACACATGCATACATATATACATGTACACACATATACACATATATATACACACATATAAATATATATATATACACACATATAAATATATATATATATATATATATATATATATATATATATATATATATATATATATATATATATATATACATACATATATAAATATATATATATACACACACACACACATACACATACATACATATATAAATGAACATACAATCTTCTCCAAATTTACTTATGATCCGTACATTATACAAGTCATCAATTTATTAAACACAGCTTTGTGTAAGGTCCAATGTATGTTCATAGTGTATTTATGAATAAATAGATTATTACTACATTATTCATGCAGTTATTCTACCACATATCTCTTTTATAATTTAGTTGAATAATAATTGATGAAGTAACTGTTATTAGAAAGAATATTGATCATTATTATCAATTGTAATTTCAGCTCCATCCAAGGTCCGATGTAAATTGTGTGGATGCTAATCTTGGTGTTTTGTTGATTGAATTCTTTGAACTATATGGTCGCAAGTTTAACTATATTGTGACTGCTATTAGAACTAAGAAAGGAGGAACCTATATTAGCAAACAGGAGGTGAGCTAAACTGTTTTAATATAAATAAACATGTGCACACTCACTTATATTGTAATGATGTTTTTCATTTTAAATTAAATGTAATGCATTTTTGTCACACTTTGTAAAAATCAAATTACCGTGGTCTTGTTATGGTTGCTCAAAGAAAAGGTGGACAGTTTGAGGATGGTATGCATAGTCATTACTTAAAATTTCCTACACCTTCCAGGAAATGAAATTTTTGTTTTTTATTTTACCTCTAAAATATAAGGAAATAGAATTTCTTGGTTCAAACTATTTTCTGAATATTTAAAGGTAGGTTAAAAGGAAAACAAGTGAACATATCCAATTTTTTATTACTTTTCCCTTATATACTGTTCAAAAATGAATAGAGATATTTCTATTTGATTTGTTTTAATTAAAATACCCTATTTTTGTTTGTTAGGGATTCTCCTATTTGTTAGTAAACATAAAAAGTAAACACCAAGTATTCTTTATTCTTAATAAATTATTAACTAAAGATAGTCAACATGAAGAATACTCCTTGTGTAAATCAACAGTTTTTTTTAGACTTTTCTCAAGTTTAACCTAGTAATATTGTGTTTAATGACAGAAAAACATCATATTAAACCAGAAGTATGCAATATTATTGTGAGAATGAGCGGTCAAGGGCACCGGCAGGTGGATATCACTGATACAGTTGCCATCTCCCGGATTGTGGTCTCCCGGGCTTAAGCAAGATTCAGAGAAAAGTGAAAGTACCAATAGGCAACCTATTAGTGGATCTCAGTTCATTAAGACACCGAGAGATGACAGAAATATTGTTATTACTGCAAGAAGTAACCCTTTTCATAGTACCCGACAGAGCCTAAATGAAGTGTCTAATGTTCTGCCAAGGCTCATATCAACTCAAACCATTCGTAATTGTTTGTTAAAAGTTGGTTGAACATCTTATGTTACCTGTTTAACATCTTATGAAGACATGCAGCAACAGCAACTCCACATATTATGGTGCAGTAAGCGCATAGGTGAGGATACAAATTGGAATGCTGTTATGTTTACAGATGAGTCGCATTTCTTTATTTATAGCGATTATAGGCACCAAAGAGTCTTCTGAAAACAGTTTTTGCTTTTTTCAATGCAGTCTGCAGGTGAGAGTATGATGGCATCTATTCACAAGGACGAACTCAACTCCATATTGTGAAAGGTCATTGCAGTTCGATTTGTTCAAGAAATTATAGAGGAGTACATTCCTCAAACCAGGACCATAATGACCTCAAATTTACATTTCTTGACGACAATAAGCTACCACATAAGGAACATTGTTCATCAATGTCTTGAAAATCTGGACATTTCACGTCTGCCCCTTGCTGTGTTGTCTCCAGATCTCAATCCCATTGAGCGAAAGTGGAATGCACTGCAGAGAAGGCTTTTTGCTCATCATCTGCAGGTTCTTAACTTTCAGCTACTGAGAGCTGTATTACTACCATGTTTATAGTATGAAATTCCTTGTGAAATGAGTGACATTATATACAGTATGCCCAATAGGTGCAGAGAATTAGTGCTTAAAAGAAGATATTACACAAATTATTAAATTTTACAAAAATTTTACAATTCACATTTGTAAAAACATGATCACAACAACTTTTATTTTTATTATTTTATTAAAACACCTTTTATAAAACTTTCCGAGGTGAAATACAATCTTATTGGTATTAATTTTCAATGAATTTTATAATTAAATTAAAATAAAAATTCTCAGAAAAATGAATCATACATAACTAACAATATCTCTATTCATTTTTAAGTAGAATTTATCGCAAACGGATTGATTTTTCATGGTTCAAATTATCTTTTGTCTTTTCAGAAGTATAATAATTGGAAAACTGGTGTGAACATTTTTGAATTTGATTTTATTTTTCAAGTTTTATCTTGATAACTGATTAATTTTCCATGGCTCAAACTATTTTCCTACTTTTTAGCATTAGGCTAATAGATAACTTATCTGGTCTTAATTCCTTATCTTACTTTCCCTACAATCCTTGTTTTAATCTTTATTTTTTTCTAAATAAAATCTCGGTCTTATGAATTATTTTATTTATGTTATCTTTCTTCAGAAGACACCAAATTCTATCACCTGAGCTGGCTCTCCAAATTTATTAGCTAAACTTCAGCATAGTATTATGACATCCCTAGAACAATCTTGCAGTGTCCCCTACAGATTGATTAGGAAAACAGGTGGTAGGGCTCAGTAGGACAAGGAACAACGGTTAAACAATGTATCCATAGCAGTACCACATGTTGCAACTCTGTATAATGGTTCATGGTAAAGAACCATTTTTTTTTTTTCACCCTACCTGGCATTGCTGCCGTACTGGGTTTTGGGAGCAGTGTGTTAATACATTAGGGTTCTTGTATGCCCACTGCTGCCAATAAACAACTCTTTATTAATCATTTTTATTTGTATGCAATAATTTTTAATCAGAGGAACAATAAAACCACTAGGTTAATGGTGGTGTGGTCCGGTACACGGGTGTGCACAGTGTTGGGCGTTATTTAAATAAATTATTTGAAATTTTATCTAGATAACGAATAATAGATAAATTTTTATTTGTTATTTCTTATTCGACGATCTTTGGACAGATAATCATTTGTTATTTGTTATTTACAAATAATATGCATTATCTGTTATCTATTATTCGTTATTTAAGATGAAAATATGATTCGAATAATCTTTTTTGCAATTTTAGAATTTCTTTAAAATTTAGGTCTGTTTATATGTTTTATGGGGCCCTTTTTATGAAAATACTGTCGGATTTGAGATAGCGCCTCCCCTTCCCCTACCGACTATTTGTAACTTTTCGGATTTAATTGATATGAGGGTCGACTATTAGGTTTTGGGGGGCCCTTTTTATGAAAAAAAAAACTCAGATTTGAGATAGCGCCCCCCTCCCTTCGAACTGACTTTTGTAACTTTTCAGATTTAATTGATATGAGGGTAGACTAATATGTTTTCGGGGGCCCTTTTTATGAAAATACTGTCAGATTTGAGATAGCCCCGTTCATACAAGGGATTTAATTCATACAAGGGTCGACTATTGAGTTTTGAGGTATGTTTTTTTTAAAAATATTTTCGGAAAGCTCCCGCGGGCACCGACTTTTTGTAACTTTTCTGATTTTAAATTGTGCCCCCTCTCCTATCGACTTTTCTTATATCTGACGGGCCCCACAAAACATATTAGTCGACCCTCATATCAATTAAATCTGAAAAGTTACAAAAAGTCAGTTCGGCAGAGGGGGGTGCGCTATTTCAAATCCGACAGTATTTTCATAAAAAGGGTCCCCCAAAACATATTAGTCGACCCTCATATCAATTAAATCTGAAAAGTTACAAAAAGTCGGTTCGGGGAGGGAAGAGGGGGGGGTGCGCTATCTCAAATCCGACAGTATTTTCATAAAAATGGCCCCCGATAACATATTAGTCGACCCTCATATCAACTAAATCTGAAAAGTTACAAAAAGTCGGTTCGGGGGGGGGGAGGAGGCGCTATTTCAAATCCGACAGTATTTTCATAAAAAGGGTCTCCCAAAACCCTGATATGGAAGAAATCCTAAAAACTCAAAAAGTCGCAATGCAGTGGTGTAATCTTAAAATGGAGATAATTTTAAAAAACTATGGATCTGAAAATATACACATTGGCCCGTATATAGAAGAAAAATAAAATTAGCGTCAAATTATTCGAAATTTATTTGAAAAAAAGTCGAATAACAAATAAAAAGATAACAGATAACTTGAATT